TTTGCACCAGCTGAAGTTTCTGAACCATCTTCAAAGGCAGCCCCACATAGAGCAATGTTACAGTAAATGGGATGTAACTGAGGTATGTGTCACTGTAGCCAGATCCCACTTTAGACTGGTAAATCAAATTACAGTGGTGCCTCGCTTAACGAAGAAATCGCTGTACGATTAGTTTTTTGCGATTGCAAAATGATGGTTTAAATGGTTTTGGTTTTTTTCGTTTAACGATGATCGATTCCCTGCTTCGGGAACCGTTTTTTGCTTTACGACGATCAGCAAACAGCTGATTGTCAGATTTTAAAATGGCCGCTGGCTGAAGAAAATGGCCCCCTGCTGTTTTCTAGGACAGATTCCTCACTTTACAGGCACCGAAAATGGCCGCCGTATGGAGGATCTTCGCTGGACGAGCAGGTATTCAGCTCATTGGAATGCATTGAACGGTTTTCAATGCGTTTCAATGGATTTTTTAATTTCGTTTGCCAATGTATTCGCTCTACAGCGATTTCGCTGGAACAAATTAACATCGTCAAGTGAGGCACCACTGTATTCAAAGTGAGAACTCTTCCCCCTCCTTTTTTTCTTTTCTTTTCTTTTCTTTTCTTTTCTTTTTCTTTTTCTTTTTTTTTTTTTTTTTTTTTTTTTTTTTTTTTTTTTTTTTTTTTTTTTTTTTTTTTTTTTTTTTTTGGTTCCTTAAACCTCATGCAACTCCTAAAGCCTCCTTGGATCAGCAAATGGCCAAAGTAAACATATCTAGGTTGATACCCACACAAAGTCATGTTTTTTTCTCATTCCAAAGGTTAGTTCAGCCTTTTACAGAAAATTGTTTTCCCATCAGTGGTGTTGGAAAAAGTCTCAGCACGTGCTAAATTCCAAAAATGCTCTAGCATATTACATCCAAAGAATGACTTCATTTTATAAGCCTCCACAGCTATTCTTGGCTTACAATGACCCTTAGAAAGGATTCCTAGTTTCATTGCAAAAGGCTGTAAAGATAGTCATGCTGGCATGTCAGCTGGCGGAGACTCCATTGCCATCTGCTCCAAGGAGCCACTCTACCAGAACTGACAACCTTACCTGAATAATGTTGTTCAGCAACTTGGTTCCACACATTGACCTTTATCTTGAATTACTTTATTGTTGATTCAACAGTTTTGATGAGTCTACCTTTATCTAATACTACCATTTCATCACCAGATCTCAGTGCTACTCTTTTTGAGAGAACTATTCAGTTCTCTCTTTTTGAGAGAACTATACATACCTATCTGCTTTTCTGATGACTTTGTGAGTAAATTCACAAGTGTTTTTGCATAGGCATTGGATGTACTACTTCCAAAAAAGGAAAACATGTTGCTTAGCTGTAATATTTGTTTTTTGAGCAAGCATCTCTTCCCTCAAGTAATTTACTTAGCTTCTTCTTTTTGGCACCTGCTGTTGATTATTGCTGTGTCATCTGAATTTTCTAACTGAGAGGCAGCCTGCTAAGGAGTAGATGCATTTAACTCTCTATCTAAAGGTTCTGGAGAGTGATTCTGCATAGACGCAGACATCCATGTATGAATACACAGATGATCACACATAGAACAAATGTTTCAGAAAAGCAACCTGTTTTACCACGGTAGAATTAAAAAGGCCAAAATCTGTTACCAGAAAATATCCTTATTAGGACCAACCAAACTGTCACAAAATAGGAAGCAAGTTTTAAAGTTTTTGAGAAACTTTCATCAGACTAAAGGGAACAAAACGAAGCGAAAGTGTGACTGGCATTCTGGCAAACTATAAAATCTGATGTTATGATAGTTTAAAGTGGAGTTCTGGAAAGCACTTATAAATTTAGTCTCTTTAGGTTACACTAAAGCTTTTATGCTTGATTTGTGATAGTCAGGAGAAAGAGGTTTATTTATATATTATAACATTCAGGCTTTATAGTCATGAAAATTGTTTTGCTTTTTATATGGACTCTCCCATGCCTTTATTTGTTTGCTCTCTTTGCTTATTTTATTTTAGGTATTCTAGTGGAGTTATGTCTCCAGAACGTCATGTCCGAACTAGGCTGTATTTCACTAGTGAAAGTCATGTCCATTCCTTACTATCAACTCTACGGTATGGCTCCTTATGTGATGTAAGTGTTGACATCTTCAATTTGTTCTATATGAATTTTGTATGTCTTTCATACTTCTGTTATTGCATTCAGTATTTTTTAAAACTCAAAATGTATTTACTTATTTATATATACACCACCCATTTGGTGGCATGCTACTACTCTGGGTGGTTTACATAATGGAAAACATTTTAAAAACCCAATCCCCAAACAAATGTAATTGAAAGGAAATAACCCCTCCCCCCCCAAAATAACCCAGTGGCAACAGCAATTTAAAAACCAATTAAAATAAACAACATAAGAGACAATCATTTCGGGAATGTCTACAAAAAAGCTTCTCTGAAGAGATGAGTTTTGCCTGCATTTAGTAAATGTTAGGAGGGAAGAAGCTTGGCATACCTCTGCTGTCAATGCATTCCATAATGTGGCAACCACTACCGAGAAAGCCCAATTCCTAGTCATAGATTTCTGGGCTTACCTTGGGTTACCAACCTACAACATCACCATTTGAGTGGAGCAGGTGGAACAGACCAATGATCTCAGGGGAGAGGTGCTCTGAGAAGTAACCTGGTCCCAAACCATTAAGAGCCTTATATGTCAACACCTTGAATTGGGCACAGAAGTATACAGACAATCAGGATTATATAACAGAAAAAATATTTCATTTTAATTTTCAGATGTTTTGAAGAGCGATGCTAGCTGATCTGTAACATTTGCAAGAATTAATTTTATCTAATGGGATTTTTTTCCTGTTAGTCAAAATAGCTCCATTATTTTTCACTGACTTCTTTTAGTTCTGAAATACATGATACTGCTTAGTGTGAATTGTTTACTGGAATTTGTTTTTACATGTCTGCCATTGGCCCTTTAGAATCTCAGATGTAGTTCAGCATGTTCCTTTGTTGCTTTTTAGAGCAGAGTTTCCTAACCTAAGGGTTTGACCTTCTAGGGAGCCACAGAGTGTTTTCTGGGGAGTCATGGGTCACCTTGTATCTGTTGTAGCCTGCATTAAATAACTTCTTCCTAGACATTTAAGAATGGGATATTAAAGTTAGCATGCATGTGTATGTATGAGAAACAGGCCCTTTGTGGGGAGAAAGAAGCCTCCAATTTATGAGAAGGGATAACTTTACCCTATTAAAAATGTGTTTTCGTGCAAATATGGCAGAGGGAATTGCAGGTTAGCTCGCTATTATGAAATAGGGTCAAGACTTTAAAAGCATTGGGAATCACTGATTTAAAGTGATTATGATGTAGAAAATTAGAAGCAGCAATGGAGGAATCATAAAATCCTATTTCTCTCCATTATCTCTTGCTCTTTTTAATATTGCTAGTTTTAGATCATCAGCATGTTAGGAAGTAGGACAATCTATACATTTTGGTATTGCTATATAAACTATAAAGGTTTGGTTAATGATTTTAGATCACTGGTTTCAACACAAAAATAACAGTTGCATGATCTTGGACTGTATAATAAACATTTTTACTGTAATGTTGTTCAGTTGTGCTTAGTGAGACTTACTCCTGGTAAGTGACTGAAATCCTGTTGCACAGTTTTGCCTGCACAATTGGAATATCATTAGCAGCGGCAAAATACTGCTAATTAATGGCTTCCTTTTCTGATTTTGGAGCATGCATGGCTCTTATACAATATATTGAAGTCACATGCACCACAAAATTGCTAATGACATTATTCCCATTGTGCAGATGGACCCTGCCCAAGAGGATTTTAGCCAGAATGCCATAAATGCTGAAATAAGAATATAGAGTTTAAAAGGGAGTTATGAATCATATTCTTACTGTGATAAATTTCTACTCTTTTGCTCCAAGGCATCAAAAGATGAACAGTGGAAACGAGCTATGGATTATCTCAATATTGTCAGTGAACTGAATTACATGACCCAGATTGTTATCATGCTCTATGAGGATCCAAACAAGGTAAAGAAATAATACGAAAACAGGATAAATGGTAATATATTCTCATAAACATGTTTTAAACTACGTTGTCCATTTCTGATAGGAGCCTTCTTCAGAGGAACGTTTCCATGTGGAATTACACTTTAGCCCAGGAGCTAAAGGGTGTGAAGAGGATAAAAATCTACCATCAGGTTTTGGGTATAGACCTGCTTCGCGGGAGGTAAAAGTGTTTTTTAAATATATATGAAATGCAAGCACAGCTTTCTGCATAACATTTCTAAGCAGTTAAGTGTCTCATACATAATTGCACCTTTCCCTCATGTTTTCTATGGATAACTCAAGATACAGCTTTATATCTTTAAAATCAGTTAATATTCTTTGGGAATTCTTATTATTGTTTATTTAAATAGTATAAAATGTCCAATGACATAAGAAAATAACTTTGGAAGAAGGCACTATATTAAAATGCTTAGAGTGGTGCTTGACAGGAATTACTTTAACAGTTGTCTCATGTAAAGTTCTATTATAGATGATGTGATGTGTTAGATATTTAGTTTGCTTTCTTGAATGTACATATATCCTGATCCGAAGCTATTGCTTTGTTAAAAATAAAACTGGAAATAGCATAACTGGTTCTGATAAATAAGGTTTGTTGCACAAACTTAACAGCTTTCTTTATTTTGGAAGAGGAACTGAAACCTGGTTTTTCAAAAACGCATCCTGAAAATCTGCTTCTGATGCTTCAACTACTATTCAGACATCCTTTGTGGTGGTGAGGGGGATAATTACCATGAACGTCTTTAGATAAAGGCCATAACCCCTGGTATTCACAGGCATTATGTTTACAGTTTGTCCGAAATTGTGTGTCACATGAAATGTCTCTTTTCTTATAGAATGATGGCTCAAAGAAAACCTCACATAGAAATGATAGTGATGAAGAACTGCACACTCATAAAAGGGATGAACCTGATCGATCTGTAATGGTGTTCAAACCTTTGGTGTCAGATCCAATTCATATACACAGAAAGTCACCACTCCCTAGACCCAGGAAAATTGGTTCAGTGGAAGTAAGTTTTGCTTTCCAACAACTTCATGTAGTAGAAATCAGTGCTTCTTTGGGAAAGTAGGCTATTCATTTTCAGAATCCTTTTTTTTAAATGCATCAAAGTATATAGTATCACTGCTCTTAGGATTTTAACAATGCTCTAAACAGTTTTATAAAGCAATAACTAAAAGTCAGAGGAATTTGGTTCTTCAAACAAACCTACATTGCTTTCTTACCCAGAATCATAAGATGCAACGTCACAAAGATCAATGTAATAGGAAAAGGGCATTTTTCAGTTTTTTTTCTTTTGTGGGATTTGTTATTGCTTATATATGTTTATTATTGCCTCTCAAGGCAATGCAAGTCAACATATTCTCATTGTGGAAAATACCTGTTCATAGCCTGTAGGATCAGAGACATCCAGTAGAGTGGGTTATTTCCCTCTAACACCAAGGGAAACAGGATTAATCTTTGAAAATCTGGCTTCTCTGCAGTTTACCCTCTGTATCACTCCCAGTTCTTTCCTTGTCCTTGCTCAGGTTAGATATGGCTCCACTCTCTTCACATTTACAGGATTTTGTTTCTATTATATTTTCATTACTAGTGATCTAGTCTACTACCTCCATCCCACTTTTCAGTCCAGATCTTTGTCTTTCAGTTCTTTCAGAATATGCTGTCTCTTTTGCTTTGCTTGCTTCCGTCATTGGTCTCCTTTAAACTTTGTTGTTGTTTTTTAACTTTTTTCCCTTCTCCCCCCCCCCCCCCCAGGTTAATCAAACAAGATGACCCTTGGAAGTTCAAATATTGTTACGGAGTGGGATAATCCTCAAGACATACCCTTCAAACATCTCCCAACTTCTCAGCCTGCCCACACAGTCCTTTCTGTTTTCAGGAGCCCAATGGAGTCATGAAAGAGTTGTGCATTGGTTGCAACAGCCATGTCCATGTCCCTTTCAACTGGTACAATAGATACAGGAAAAAAATTGTCAGAAAAGTGGAAGCAATAATGATCAACCCCCTCATCTGCTCCCCATAAGGCTCCCACAGAGGTCAACTATGATGCTATTATTGTACGATGGTGATTTTGTAACTTGCTAGGCTGGCAGGCAGATTTTGCTCAGCGTTATGTGTCTTCCTTTTCATTTCATTTACATGCAACCCTGTTGCAATCTTTTCCTGTCATCCTATGTTCAGTGCATCGTGAATCAATGAGCAAGTGCTCATTTAAAAAAAAGCTGAGCTGATTTAAGAGACCTTGTTTCCACTCCATCTAAGAAGGCCAGACTTGCTCCCTTGTCCTCTTCCTCTGCTCAGGCTGCTTCTCCTATCCTGTCAGATCCAGTGGTCAATCTTTGTAATTATCAGGTTCCCACAGGTTCCAACTGAGCAAATAAAGGACCCCATGCCGCCTCAATCCACCATAGCATGAATTACTTCATTTGCTTGGAGGTAGTCATTTCTACAGAGGAATTCTTCCCTAGTGGCACTCAGACCAGGCATTGCTCCCTGTGGGTTTTCACCAAATTTGTGGTGTAGTAATTGCCCATCTCCATTTACAAGGGAGTGCATATTTGCTCATACTAAACAAACCGCTGGTCCATGGGGTCACAAAGAGTCAGACACAACTTCATAACTAAACAACAAAACAAGCCGCTCTTCATTTAGCCATAGTCTAAGGAGCACAACAGGATCTCCAGACCACACTCATTTGTCTAGGCATGAGTTCTTTGCTTCTCTCCCAGTTGATGATGTCCAATAGACACCCACAAAGCTCTAGCCTCTGTTGCTCAGCAGGGGGTGAATAGGTTTGTCAGGGAGGTCACCTTCTTCAGGAAGAAATGTTAAACAGACATGATGAATTTGTGATTCATGATTTCAGGCATCACAGTGGTGCCCTAGGCATCATCTGCATTTTTGATCTTTTCAGGTGGTTCTAACATTGCAAGAAACAGGTAATCTCACAAAAACATGTACCACTGGCCTTAACTCAGAATTTCATTCGCCTCTGATATGGTGTCTCTACCCATTCAACCTTACCAAAGGAGTTCCCGTGAAACATCCCTGCAGGGAGCGCCTCATCATCCAAATAATGGTGGTGAGCTCACTCCCAGGCCTTCGGTCTCTCTAGGAAACTATGTGCAGCATCATGGCCAAGGTGGTTGTTTAGTTAAGTCGTGTCCAACTCTTCGTGACCCCATGGGCACACCAGGCCCTCCTGTCTTCCACTGCCTCCCGGAGTTTGGTCAAATTCATGTTGGTAGCTTCGATGACACTGTCCAACCATCTCATCCTCTGTCGTCTCCTTCTCCTCTTGCCTTCACACTTTCCCAACATCAGGGGCTTTCCCAGGGAGTCTTTTCTTCTCATGAGATGGCCGAAGTATTGAAACCTTAGCTTCAGGATTTGTCCTTCCTGTGAGCACTCAGGGTTGATTTCCTTCAGAATTGATAGATTTGTCCTCCTTGCAATCCAGGGGATTCTCAAGAGTCTCCTCCAACACCACAATTAAAAAACATCAATTCTTCAGCAGTCAGCCTTCTTTATGGTCCAGCTCTCACTTCCATACACTGCTACTGGAAAAACCATAGCTTTGACTATGCGGACCTTTGTTGGCAGGGCGATGTCTCTGCTTTTTAAGATGCTATCTAGGTTTGTCTTCGCTTTCCTCCCAAGAAGCAGGCGTCTTTTAATTTCGGGGCTGCTGTCTCCATCTGCAGTGATCATGGAGCCCAAGAAGGTAAAATCTGTCACTGCGTCCATATCTTCCCCTTCTATTTCCCAGGAGGTGATGGGACCAGTGGCCATGATTTTAGTTTACGCTCTCCTCTTTCACCCTCATTAAGAGGTTCTTTAATTCCTCCTCACCTTCTGCCATCAGAGTGGTATCATATGCATATTGGAGGTTGTTGATATTTCTTCCGGCAATCTTAATTCCGGTTTGGGATTCCCCCAATCCAGCCTTTCACATGATGTATTCTACATATAAGTTAAATAAGCAGGGAGAAATATACAGCCTTGTCGTACTCCTTTCCCAATTTTGAACCCATCATTTGTTCCATATCCAGTTTTAACTGTTGTTTCCTGTCCCACATATACCGTATTTTTCGCTCCGTAAGAGGCACCTCTCCATAAGACGAACCAAATTTTTAGAAGAAAACAGGAAAAAAATAATCTGTTTTTTTCTCCTAAATGTTTGGTGAGCCTTATGGAGAGGTCCATCTTATGGAACACACCCTAGGACCCTTTGAAGGCTCACCCCCTCCCGGGGGGGCAGATGGGGAAAAATCACCACCTTCAGGGACTCTTCTGAAGCTTCCCAAGCATCAAAAGAGTCTCAGAAGGTGGTGATTTTACCCCCTCTGGCCCTGCGGGGGGCAGGGTGAGCTTCCAAAGGGTCCTAGGGTGTGTTCCAGGACACTTGGGGGGCTCCCCCCACGGGGCCAGTGGGGGCGAAATCTCCAGCTTCCAGGACCTTTTCTGAGCTTTTCCAAGCCTCAGAAAAGGTCCTGGAAGGTCGCAGTTTCGCCTGTCAGCTGTCTCCTTCCTGCAGACTTAACAGTGTTCCTTTATGTGAAGATCTGTTATGGTATACAAGGAAGGAGATATCCAGATGGACTCACTGGTGGCTGATTGGCAAGAAGCTTTTATGTTCCTTGATGTATGTCATGTGGCTCTTAGCATTTTACTCTTTCTATTTGCTTTTCATAATTCCTTGCATTCATATCTGTCAGTGCTTATTATGTAAAGAACTGGGCAAGGAGCAAAGTGTGTAATACAAAGAACCCAAACATGCAAAGTTTTTAACTTTGAGCATCAGAGGGAGGTACCCCACTCAGCTGAATGTTTCCTTAGTTGCACGTCAAAATGAGTCTTCATGGTAAGTAACCAACACTCCAATATCACAATCTTCCCACAATTCTGATTCATAGGAAAGAAAGGACAAAACTTCTGGGTGTGAGCAGAAGCAGTTTTGCAGTAATTTGAATCATGCCTACTGTTACTGATTTACATGGAAGAAACAGAGTTATTACATTATTTGATTCTGCAAATCTGGACTCTTGCACCACCTGTTTTCTGTCGAAGAAAGGTTGGGCAGAGATGTGAACAACTAGATGATGGCATGGCTTTGGCTCCTGCTCTGGGCCTGTTGGCCTTTGCTACATTGCAGCCAGTACCACTGGCTGCACTTGTGGTTAGGACTAACAGAATTCCACAAAAAGAAAGACTCCCTGCAGTCTATATCCAGCCATTAAAGGAAGCCTCAACAGTGTTCAGGCTTTCCTCCCACCAACTCTTTTGTTAAATATTTCTCTCTGCTTAGTGTACTTTCTGTCTGGGTTTAAAGTAGACACTTCTTGTTTTGTAGAACTGGATGGGTATGGCCACAGGTGGAAGATGGAGCCAGAGCAGTTCACAGACCGCCCAAACTTTCCACCAATGTTGTAGATTTTTAATGGTCACTAGTGTGTGGTATTATGAACGACTTTTATATAGGTATCCATTCCAAAGCTTGACAGTAGGGTCTTTCCCACTTCCTCAAAAGAAGGGGAATGAGGAATTGATTTCTTCTGCTGTTCACAAATACCTTGTATCCTCATAATTAGCTTGATGTTTGACTGCTAGGCTAGAATGAGTATGTTGGATCAGTTTCTCTCCCTCATGCGTCAGGAAAACATCACATCAGGGTCAGGACTGATAGATTGTAAGATTACCCTGGGCTTTTCTGACAGCAAACAGGCTGTGAAACTAACTAGTTCTTACCTTTGTGTTGCCATTTTGTGGAACCTGTGAATAATAAAGTCGTTGTCCTTCATGGCCTTCCACACCACAGCATGCTTCCCACTGTGATAATTTGGGATATTAATCAGAGTGAAGCTAAAGCATGTTTTTCTGTTCAAAGTATTTTTGACAGATATTACTGTGTATTTCCATAGTAGTGGATTTTTAAACGAAACAGAACCTTATAGTTATTTAATGAAAGGAAAACAAGAGTACTATCAAAAATATTTAGATGTTTTTCAGCAAGCACAATATTCACACACACACACACACACACATATATCCATCTTTAATTTCTTGTTATGAATTTTTTTAATAGCAATACATTTTTTCTATCTAATCTAATTTATCTTAATAGTTTGAAATTTGAATATGAAAAATGTTGGAACTCTTAGCTTAAATTTAACATTTTTGTTTGTTTTTATTTTTCTGAAGATGCTATGTGTGCTGAAAGCAGCAATAGGAAACAAGGAAATTGAGTGTAAATTCAACTATGAAGAAATATTGCCAGATTCTTTTCGGCTCAGTTTGAAATATAATTTAAGATTATGACTAATCTCTTAGCGATATTTTTAGAAATAAAATCAGTAGGAGTACAAATGAACAAAATTCAAATAACTTCCAAAAATCAAACCTAATACTAAATATACGTTCTAGACCTTCTGTCCTTCCTTCGTCAGCAACAGATATTCATTGACAGTGTAAGGTGGTGTAGGCTGAGGTCTCCAAATTGTAGAGTGAGATATGTGTGTAACTGTACTTTGGTACAGGTCCATTGGTGGTACTTGATTTGGTCCATTAAATTGGTCCTAAAGTTTAGGGAGAAGATAACAGTATTTTGAACAGAGGATATATATGGCATATGGATACAGAAAAAGACTGAATGCTTGTGGTGTATCTTACTAGAAAAACTTCAGACATCTTTTTGTTAAACTAAGTAATCTTTCTCAATCTCATCTGAGTCAATTAAATAACTTCCCAATTGTTTATGTTTTGAAATGTATGTTGCATTATGAGTGAAGGAAAATGCAGCAAAAAAAGAAAGGAAGTTGAGTTGTATGTATAGTAATTCCTTTGAAATTTATAGAATTTGTGTTCATTTGGTTGACTTGCCATTAGTACTGCTGGAGTTATTCAATGAAAATAAGTGAATTCTTGTATCTGGTTGCCTTGTGTGATTTTATGAGAAACATTACTCATTACTGTTTAATGCTGGTAGAGCTCTTTAGAAAAGGGTGCAAAGAAAACTGTTTTTATTTCCTCATCATTTGGCTATGAATCTAACGTTGCATGCTTTGCTGTTTTTTTGCCCCCTTTCTCACTTCCAGGAAGAGAGCCCCCTGAGTGTGTCTAGCCCAGAGTGTATTGGTACCTGGCTGCATTACACCAGTGGTGTGGGTACTGGGCGTCGAAGACGCAGATCAGGGGAACAAATCACTTCTTCCCCTGTCTCCCCTAAATCATTGGCTTTCACATCCAGTATTTTTGGCTCATGGCAACAGGTTTTTAAACTTTACTTCATTAAACCTTACTATGCATTCCAAGCAGAAACCAACCGTCTTTAAGGACATCTAATCCCTTGTTCTGGATTCGTTCAAATTAAATTATTTCACCAGTCATTAAAATGTAATCTTTAAAAATATTAGCCACTTCCAAGAATGCTTGGGGGGGAAAAAAGCAAGTGCATGTTTTTTTTTCCTATATTTTTTTTCCTCTGGATGTATATGTTGAATTTTGAATTTATTTCTTTTCAGCACTGTTGAATTAAATATAGTTAGTTCCCTAACAAAAGAGGCATCAGCTTTGGCTTAGTTGTCCTTTAAGACTTTTTTTCTAGGAAAAAAAGAAAGAAAAAGACCAGCATTTAGTAAACTTGTGGTCGGTATACTAAATTAAAATGCCACATTAAATAATTAGATTGGCATCCAGTATTCCACAACTGAGTTGAGCATAGGTTACATTTTCAGCAACCTGTTAACTGTGCAGGGGAAAAAATTAGCACTAATCATTATTTTCTCTGTTCCTTAATTGGAGGCATATTTTTTCTTCCTCCTTTTAAAAGAGACAGAACTTCATCCATTGTAATACATAATATTGTCAAATTTGAAGTACTGGAGAAATTTAATGGTATGGCATACAGAGATCTATGTTGCAACGTATGTAATAGTCAAAGTTGAAGAATGAAGAGAGTTATTATGTTGTTTATACTGGACAGTGGATGGTGTTTTGTTACCAGAGACTCTTCCTTCTTTTCAAAAGAATGTATAATTTCCATTCTCTCTTGAACTTATAAAGCATTTGGTTGTAGGAGAAAAGAGTTCTAGATTAAAGGCTGTGAACACCAGAAGTTTACCCTGATACAGCCTGTGCATGAATCAGTGACTGTATAGTGACCTCATCGGCCTATCTGTGTTTCCTCTTCCCCTACTCCTTTTCAATACAGGTGCAGTTTAGGAGTGTTCATTTGGTAAACTAAATTGACACAGTCTTTCTGTGTTTTCATCTTTCTTGGTGTCTGTCCTGTTCTCATCATGAATGGCTGCTTGCACCATTTCATTGCAAGGTTCTCATATGTGAAATTGACTCCCTTGAGAAATACTGCATGACCTCCCATATTATTTTGGTATTTCTACTAACACATTGTATGGCTTATTAATACTTGTCTGTATTAAACAGGCTGCTGTTTCGAGCTTAATGGATTCTACAATCCCAGGAGTCTATTTTTCTCCCCTCATTTATCTGTTTGTCATGTCTAGGTCCCACCAGAAAACAATAGTTATTTTCGGCCACCAAGAACCTTTGTAGAGCAAAAGACAAGCGGCATAGGTATGTATAAACTTCCTAAATTCTGTACATTTCACATCAATCTGTAGTAAATATAGATAGAAGGAATTTGTTGGAGGGGAAAAACACACATGCAACAGTAATCTTGCAAGCAGGTTTTCCCCTTTGATGGATTTCTCTAATCCAGCCAGATATAAAGCCGATACCTCACCAGATGTTGCAAACTTCTTATAAATATCTAAAATGTTACCACTACCTTTTTGATGAAGAATCAAACTAGTACATACGAGTTACCTGGGTGATTGAAAGCAGAATGTCTGCTACCCTATGGACGTGATTATTATTTTTTTCAGCTGAATTAAAGTCATAATTTTATTTTCACAAGTTAGCAAAGACCATATTAAGGTTCTTCATTTCCAGCTTTGGGTTGGAAGGTTGCTTCATGATCTAGAGAGAGATGAAGAGATGCTCCTGGAGTTTTGTTTTTTTAAAAAACAACACTTTACTTTTCTCAGTTGCCTGTCTTCCGTCTTCTTTTTAAAAATAAAAACTGAGTCAAGTTCTTTGCACTATCCCAAATTCCATCAACTACAGCTTTCAGTGGACAGACCTTTCTGTTGTAACTATCGCATTACACCAGGATCATGTACAGTGGTGCCCCGCATAGCGACGATAATCCTTTCTGGAAAAATTGTCGCTAACCGGATTCGTCACTATGCGAAAAGAAAAAGCCCATAGGAATGCATTAAACCCCATTTAATGTGTTCCTATGGGCTTAAAACTCACCTTAAAGCGGAAATCCTCCATACGGCCGCCATTTTCACTGCCCGGTATGCGAGGAATCGGCTAGAAAACACAGAAGGCAGCCATTTTTTTCTGGCAGCCATTTTGGAACCGCCGATCAGCTGTTTTTAAAACATCGCTATGCGAAAATCAGTAAGCAAAACAGCTTACCGATCATCGCAAAGCGATTTTTTACCATTAAAAACATCGCAATGCGATCGCTTTTGCGATCACAAAAAATCCGTCGCTATGCAGATTCGTCATTAACCGAGGTGCTCGTTAAGCGAGGCACCACTGTATTTAACTTTGGCATTGCTTTAGTACAGGAAAATAAATACTATTTTATAATGGATTATATTATTTATTTTACTGAAATAGAAAAATATATTTACTCTCCTCCAGCAAAAAGACTCCCAAAGTGACTTTAGAGAGAGCAGTAACTCATACAACAATGCCTGCTCACGGGCTTATTGTTTTGATGGCATAACACACACACAAAAAGAGCTGGGAAAGAGGACAAAAAGCTGACTTAGGGCTAGGATCCAGCTCAGTTGAACCACTTTCACAATGGTTTGTTGCACAAGCAGTTCAACCTTTTAAAAGTTTGCATAGGTTTCCAGTGTCGTCTCCTGCAAACTGGAGCCCCATTAGTTCAAACAGGCAATCTCTGGGCAGCAACAAGCCCAAGAGATCAAACGGAATTATGCAGGCGAAGGATTAACAGCCAGCCAGCATGCAACAGAATTCCAGCCTAGTTCTTGAAAAACTTCTTACAATGACCAGCTTTAATGGAAACAGTTGCGGGGGAAATGAGAAGTGCAGCCAGCCTTTTAGTCATGTAGTCGCATACCTCCCTCTCTTACAGGCAGATGAACTATGTTACATTCAGAAGTGTACATTACAAGTATTTTATGTTCTTATATGTAAATGCCTCCAATTTCAGAGACAGTTTGATCATATTAAACAAAATATATTCAACATAAATTCCAATTTTTATTAGATATTTATACATTTGCCTATTAAATCTTGTAGTTCTTTAGTATACCTCATCTTAATTTGGTGTTTCACATTGAAAGCTGCTCTAGCCAATTGTTTTCACCAAGTACTCTTGACTACTGGAGTTTTTCTAACACTGCTCAGTAGCTACATGATCCTGCTCTCTATGGTACGTCACTGTTGATAGAAACAGATCTATTTGTGTGCTTATGTAATGGTTTTTCTTTGGATTCAAAGCTTTTGCCACAAATCAGGCACTTGTTTATATTGGTTCTGTCTTATCTAATGCAATAGTAATGTTTTCATCACTGCTGGTCATCGATAGCTTGGCATATATTCTGAATCACTAGATCATGGTTAGAAAGCAAATGGCTAATATTTTGAAGGCCAGGGACAGGAGAAATCCCTCTTTGAGTCAGTAATACTATATGTACCAGAAAATGATCAAAAGAAATTATATACACAAAGTAGCAACTTTTTCAGAATTTTAAATGTAAACTCTATTCGCCCTACAGCTACTCACACACTCTTAAAATCAGCTCCAGAGGAATGGGTTGCCTTCCAGAGCAGATTTTTGGTGCTGTGGAGGAGGAGATCCAAACATACCACCATTTCATTTTATGTTGGATTCACTCATAGAAAAATTGCAATAATAATAATAATAATAATAATAATAATAATAATAATAATAATAATAATAATAATAATAATAATAATAATAATAATAATAATAATAATAATAATAATAATAATAATAATAATAATAATAATAATAATAATAATAATAATAATAATAATAATAATAAATCTGAACTGCAGAGCTGGAAGAGATCGAGTCCAGCCCCTGTTGTGTAGTACTTTAATTTAATATTTATTTTTGCAAATAAGGTTTTAACTTTTAGATAACAAAAATAACATGTAATTGGTATTTAAACCAAACTTTATAATTTCAAGGCATAATTTAAAGTATTCTCATTTTGCTGTGCTCGTTATTTAGCAATGTTAAAACAGTATATTTAGGGTGAAGAAGATAAATTTGTGTAACGGGCACATTTCAGAAGTGCAACTTGTGCAAATTATATTTATCACATCTTGTGAATTTTAGTAAGATTTGCCTGCAAAAGCTGCCTAGCTCTGCCATTTTTAAATTTTTGTTTATTTATACAGGTTCAATTATAAATTCCAGAGCATTTAATCTTGTGTTTTCTTTATTCCTCCATTTCTTTTTATCTTAAATTATCCTCATTTGACAATTCTTCCTTTTTTCCCCTTTACAAAGTCTTGCAACAAGAAATAATAAATTCTCTTTATTATAGTCCAGTTCCTTTCTTTCTGTGTAATTAGTAAAGGGAACTGTGCTCTATAGAAGTACAATTAATTGTGGTAGAAGAATCTTTCAAGTGCAACTAAGACATTATAAGTGTTTTGTGAACCCATCCAAGGCAGTGCCAGAAGCTGCCTTTTGTGTGGTAAAAGCAATATGCTTGCATGTTGCATGCTTCCCCAATGTGAATGGAAGAACACCTGGTTGCTGTATGTATTTTCTCTAACTCCCATCAGGGTCTCACTGTGCGAGCCTGTTTAGCACCTCAGTGCTCGGGGGTTCTTCAAGTGCACCTAACCTACAGGATTATGCTCGTACTCATCGTAAAAAGCTGACTTCTTCTGGCTGCATAGATGGTATGTGCACACCTTCGCACATGCACTTACATACACCCACTCATAATGCATACATTGAAACTTTGGGGAAGAAAGAACTATTGATGGAATAGTAACTTAGAATACTACCTACTAGTGTTAATTGTAATGGGATTTTATTCTCTATTTTTCAGAAATCAATTGAGTTTAATAGCACCAATATTTTATTTCTTTAATACCCATAATCTTATAAACAGTCTTATAAACACAAGATTTGAGAAGTTCAGCCTGTACAAAATTCTGCAGTTTTGAATACAACTACTAGATTAAACCTATAAATTTTGGACACAATCTCTTAATATTGAATAGAAACATTTCTTACAAACCAGAGAAATCTATGGAGATATATCAGTAAAGATAAGAAGTAGTAGATTCTTTTTGTGAATAGAAGTGATATATGATGAGGGCTTCATGTAATGAGGAGAGAGGAAATGTCAGCAGAATATTTCCACTGCTACTGCAATGCTTGTTAATATTTGTGATTAAAATAAATAAATAATGTCCTAAAGTAACTTCCATGAAATTAAATTCTAATAATGTATAACATTGTATGCCAGAATCACAAACTCACCCATGCTTTTCTTCCATACACTCCATTAAACATGAAGTAATAACAGCAAGCAACGTTTATTTACTTATAAATCTGTTTTGGCCTATACAGTTTTCCCAGTCCCTTCTGCATGCCACTTAATTCTAACCTCCTCTTCATCCCACCCCCTTCTGTCCTTTCTTGAAATTACCCTCTTTTGGTAGCTGTTTTGAATTTCAGGTACCTGTTTTTCTCTTTCTCAGACACCACACGTGGTTCTGCTGTTAAAAGGTTTTCTATCTCATTTGCTCGACACCCAACCAATGGTATGTTTTCCTTTTATTTAAAGAAAAAAAATATTCCCTTGCTTCATCCCTTCCCAAACATGGGGTGTTTAGTACTATCCACCACCATCCTTCTTAATCCCAACTGATCACACAGCCATATGCTCAATTATTAGATATACCGATCGTTTGAATCTGTTTTCCCTTTTAATTTCTTAATCTGTTTTTTTTAATTCACACATCCAAATCTTTTTTGTAGACAACATAAATTAATTCCACATCTAATTATAACCATTTCCCCTAATGATTATGTCTGGCATGTGTTTAAAAAACATTTCTGATTTTAAATTCTTAGTTTCTTTTTTAAATAATATTCTTTGCCTTCTGGCTATGTTGGATATCTTTGTCTTTTTGAATTTAGCATTAGAACTGCTTTGCTGAAAGGGCCAAAAGTCCTTCTCATGCGTTCTCATTCCACAGTAGCCATCAGAGGAAAACTGGGGAACTCCTAATTAAGATAAGAAACTGAAGGCCTTTCTGGGGTGTTTTTTTTTTTTTTGGTGGTTCTTTTGTTTTGTTTTGTTTCCCCCAGAACCTGGAAAGTTAAGATGAATTAATATAATGACATGTTGAGACCTTCCATAGTTGAGCTTTGGTGGGATTATGCTCTTAGTCTGTGTAGGTTCAGTACAATGAAGCAGTTATGAGAGGTTTCAGCATGTAATTATACTCATTTTTCTTAAAAGCAGCTTTCCAAGCTCTAGATTTTTTCTCTCCAACATCTACACTCTGATGTATACTGTTTGGCCTTGCAGTTGCTATTTATCTACTCATTTTATGTATTAATTAAAATTTGCTTCCCTGCCCATGAGGGATCTCAAAGCAATACACAACTTCGTAACATAATGAAATGACAACAGAATAAAAGCAGAAACAAAATGTTTTAAAACATATTTTATCTAACCTACTTTACAGTTGATAAATCTGCCATTTCCTAATTCCACATGTTATTTATAGTGCTGTCTTAAGCTGTCACCTTTCTTAACATGGCACTGGACTTAAAAAGAAAAGTTAACTTGTGGGAAAGCTTTGCTTACATTTCTGAGTGTCCAAAGGCATGGTGTGACTTTATTTTATCCAAATTCCATTCCATTTATATGGGAATGCTTACTTAATGAGTTATCTGTTTTTATATTTTCTTCCTGAAGCTTCTAGACCAGTGGTTCCCAACCATACGTGTATCCCCAGGGTTACAAACCAGGACATTTGGGAGTATGTGAAAAAAATACATAACATTGAAAAAGGCCTAAGGAAATGTGTGGTGGTGGGACAGAGGAATGTATTATGGATTATTGTTCAGGAAAGTGTGTGAGAGCTTACTGACAAACATCCACAACTCTCCACAGTGCTCAATGGGTGGATCCATTCCATCTCCTCTTAACTTTATTTTCTTTATCAGTTGGCTCCTTTGATAGACGAGAGGAAGATTTGGTTAGGGATAGAATTTACAGTGGCGCCTCGCTTAATGGACGCCCCGTTTAATGTCGAATCCACAAAGCGATGAAGATTTTGCGATCGCAAAAGCGATCGCATTGCGATGTTTTAGATAGGAAAAAATCACTTTGCGATGATCGGTACCCTGTTTTGCTTATCGATCATCGCATAGCGATGGTTTTCCAACAGATGATCAGCGGTTCCAAAAAGGCCGCCGGGTAAAAAAAAATGGCCGCCCGCTGTGTTTTCGCCTGGATTCCTCGCTTACCGGGCAGCGAAAATGGCCGCCGTATGGAGGATTTTCGCTTAAAGGTGGGTTTTAAGCCCATAGGAATGCAGGGGGTTTCAATGCATTCCTATGGGCTTTTTAAAACCGCATAGCGACAAAATCGCTTTGTAGCGATTTTTGCTGCACGGATTATCCTCGCTATGTGGGGCACCACTGTAGTGGGCTGCCTTTCCATTCTGCGACTGTCTGTCAGAACTGCAGCTGTATTGCTGGTCTTTACCTTAGGACAGTGGTTCTCAACCTCGGGTAACCCAGTTATTCTTGGACTGCAACTCCCAGAAGTCTTCACCACCAGCTGTGCTCGCCAGGGTTTCTGGGAGTTGCAGTCCAAGAACAGCTGGGTCATCCTAGGTTGGGAACCACTGACTTAAGAGGAAGCTGGTAAGTTTTGTGAAATGAGTACAGTACATGTCTGCTGCTTTGTTATTTTGGTGAATGGTGGGGTAGACTTTCTGGAAATGAGCTACCAAGGGGTATGCAAGTGAAAAAGAGTTGGGAACTACTGCTCTAGACAAATTTAGATTTCTTTTGCTGAAATTGGTCACTGGGAAGTATTTTTCTCTCCCTACATATAAACCGTTTTACACAAAGTGTTCTCAAAGGCTTTCACGGCTGGGATCCGATGGTTGATGTGGGTTTTTTGGGCTGTTTGGGACCACAAAATGCAACATTCAGACCAGAATCAAACAACATAAAAGACTCTGCAGACTAAAACAAGTGGAAAAATCGGCAGTAGCTGAACATGCCCTGAAACAAGCTGGACATGAAATCCTATTTCAAAACACAGAAGTACTGGACAGCATTAGTAATCATTATGTTAGACTCCACGGGGAAGCCACAAACACCAGCACAGCTTCAACAAAAAAGAAGAAAGTCAAAAAAACAACAAAGCCTGGCTCCCAGCACTGAAAAATACAGCCTGCAAAAAGGTCAATGAACTCTACCCAGCCACAAGGACCAGTGATCATTGCACACAAAAGACTACCTAACAACACCCATCAATCACAGTGTCATCTCCCTCTTGTTACAACAAAACACCCATAACAAAAAACATCCTGATCACAGGAAACACAGAATTTCCTGAAAAGAACAAAAACCTGATCCCACAGCTACAAATACTCAACATCCTGTACACCAGAACATAGACAGAGTTCTAGCTCCTGTCCTCTGAAGGTGCCTGCCACAGATTGGCAAAACGTTAGGAAGAAAAACCTCCAGAACATGGCCAAACAGCCCAAAAAACCCAGAACAACCATTGTTTTACACAGACTTTCCCACTGAATCACTTATTTTCACCATAGGAAGAGTTGATAATTCCTCCCTCATAGATGAAGAGCTGCCCTCAATTTCTTTATCACAATTGAAACTTTCTGATACTGTTCATTAACAGAAGTCAGTTGTAAGGTAGTATGGTCTCCTACTAAAACTGCAGCTCTATGCTTATGACCTGCAATATATCTGCTTCACAGAAAACACTTCATACTGGAAATACAGGGTCACTTCAGTCATAAATCCATAGTTAAAATTTTAAAAGACCTTGATAATTAGTCATAGCCTTGAAAATGAGAAATGTGACTTTTTACTGTAAGTCCTACAAAGAAAAAAAGCAATTCTATATAATGGTGCAAAACAAAACAAATGAAAATTGAGTTTTGAAAATTAAACATGCATGTATTTTAAAATGTTTAATTTTAAAATTAGGGAAAATATCAATAGCAAACTGAGCATACTTTATATTTTGTGTGCTCACTGTTTTTCAATCACTATTGTGCTAATATGGATTTCTTTGATCTATTTAGTATGTTCCCTCACATCTTCCCCTATTTACTGCATATTTATATTTTACTCTGAAATCTAAGTATGCTTTTCCCTAATATACTTGGGGAGTACCTTTAGCTGCTTTGTATACATAGAGGTGTGGTGCATTGTCTCTTCTTCACCTTTTCATTGGAACGTCTCCTTTCCTTTGACTTCCATAGCTTTGCAATAACAATGCAGCCTCTAATTCATTTCAGTCTTTACCTTCTTTTTCATCTTGAGTTCAAGGAACATGGTGAAACCAGTACCTGCTGACAGTGTTTTACCTTATTTTCTGGGCCTCTATGCAGAGCATCCAGACCTCTTTAGGTGCTGGTCGGTTTCCTCTGAGGAATTTCTAGGCTCCAGTGGTATGTTTTTATAGCTTTCAGATGTAAGACGGCAGGGTGGCTTTCTAAGTTGCTGCGCTAACCCTTTCATTGTCTTGCATTTTGAAGGAAATGCATAGAGTGCAATGTGATTTAGCTCACGGTGCCTGATCAAATATTTAAAGAATTACCTACCAATACATAGATAGCTTCCTTCAGAAGATAGAATGCATACAGATATCTTTTATAGTTCTTATTTTTAGTTCAGTAAAAATGGCTTGTCAGTGACTGTTTCAGAGCATTTCTTTAATGCTGAGAACCCAACAGTGAAGCTGTTAAAAGATGAGTGAACATCTTTTAAGCTGTTAAAAGATGAGTGTTCATAACTGGTGAGTTGGTTCTGATAGCCTAGGTAGACAGTACTAAATGAAGTAAGCCAAAATATGTGTTGTTATTTTATGCTTCCATTTTAACTTTTTAAAAGAGTCTTTACTGAACACCTTTTTGTAGTGATATTGTGTAGACATTAAATAGGCATAAATACTTATATAGAAAATAGTTTCCCACTAAATTCCTTCTTGCAATACAGATACTCACTCATACATATTTGTGGATTTTTCAACAGTCAGGGAAAGCTGCAGTTCTTGTGGAATTTACTGTAATGCAAAGAAAGGGTTTGCGCTTGCCTGCATGTATAGTGTTGCATTTTTAGAAGAGTTATTAGTATATATTAAATTCAGTTAATTTGAACTGCACATATATACATAACTAGTACTGTATAATTAAATGGTATAGCATTTCTATGACATATTTTATTTTGCGCATGAAATTGTATAGGATTTTTGTTAATTTGAGAAGAAAAAGGTGATATCAAGATTATAGAATCTTTAACATAAAATATCATGGAATAAAAATATGAATACATCTTCAGTAACAATCCTCTCATGATATTGAAATGCAAGTACTGTATTAGAACCAAAAACTTAGCCATCTACATAAGATTAGTTTCTATTTGTGGTTTTTAAAATGAAAAGTTTGAAGCATCATATGGACATATTTTTGTATAGTTCATAGGAGTGCTTTCATTAAACATATATATTGATATATATTTTCATTAATATTTTAAATCATTATAATTGTGTGTGGTTGGTTTTGAAATAATTAATTATGCCTGTACTTACAATGCATAACATTGAATTGTATATGTGTGGTTTTTACAGAAATTAATAAACCTGGCTGTCATTTGTATAAGAGACACTCTTTTTGATCTTGCAGTTTGAAAATATATGAAAGGGTTGTCTTTGCTTTCTTCTCATAAGACGACAGTTTAAAGTCTTTCATAGACATGTTTTCATTTTGACTGAAAGAGCTGGCTCCAGTAAGCTATTTGAAATAACATTATATGGAACATTTAACAACTGGTATATCAAATCTGTCTTATATTGAAGTTCAAAAGAGGGGGTGATTAGAAAAGTGTTATTGATACAGGAGTGAAGAGAATCTGTAAGACTAACTGTGTAAGTGGTGGCTAAATTGCTACATTAGATTCATTTAAATATCCATGTGTTTGAATTATAATATCTGAAGAATCACGAGCATAGTATATAATAAGCATGGATACCCAATGGATCTATTCAATTTCACTCTGGTATCTAAATTTTATATGCATGTATCTGGGTTCAGAATTTGCCAGGGTGAGAGATAATCGCCTGTAAAATTCCCTCTCCTTTCACTATACACCTGTATATGCCATGTGTCCACCTCTGAAAACTCTCAATAGGGTCAAGGAAAACTTCAGAGTGGCTTCTCATATTAGATAAAGAATTGTAGTCAGGAGAAGAGGTCAGAAGAGGTGTATTGTGGTCAGCATAGGAACATATGACACACACAGGTCTCTTTGTATTTTGGTTCTTATGCTTGTTTCTCTGGATCATTTCCTTGCCAATATCATGGCTTGATTTCTCTCGTTTATGTTGGAAATCTGTGGCATTTTTAAATTCTTTTTCAGGCTTTGAATTGTATTCCATGGTGCCTTCAATATGTCCTCTAGAAACCCTCCACAACTCCTTGTCATTAAAGCAGGTGGATGAATTTCTTGCCTCCATTGCTGCCTCTAATTCGTCTGAAAATCTTCCACAGACATCTGCAGGTTATCTTCATGATTACTTATTATATTTTCCAATTTTCATATGGCAAAGCACAACTGGACATTGGAAATACATTAAAATACTAGCATTATTTTTTCTAGTTTAGGACTGATAAACAACCTCAAGTTTAGTCAAATGTTTCCTCATTTTCCTGAACAACTGGCATATTATTTTACTGCCTACATTGTAATTGCCTTGAAAAATATGAAAATGCAATATAACTTAGTCACAGAATACAATTACAACACCAATTGTCTTGTATGCTGCCTATAACATCTTTATAGTAGTAAGAGTTATTTGCACAACTACAAATGGGTAAAATCCAAAATATTCATCTCCAGTATATTTTTGCTCTGGACATGTGGATGCACACAGACATGTTCAAGCTCAGTACTGAAAAATGCTTTGTAAAATCGAAAGTGGCTTTCAGGTCCCTTTGCAAAGGGAGGGAGATGAGGGGATGGTGAAGAAAATGAAGATCCAGCATGGTGCACAAGTCATCCCATGAACTTAAAGCATTTTCTTAGACATTAGGTACTACTATATCTGCCATCAGATTAGTCTGCTTTATTTAGTGATGGCACAAAGGTTCCACAAAGCTAACTGCCCTGGCTTTCTCTGTCCTAGCAATTCCTAGAGCTGCTAAAAATCACTATATAAAGAATAAACAATTATTTAATTTTCATAGGAACTGATGGGGTGAGGGGATCCCTAAAAATCTGATGGAGGCATTTTGTATTTAATATACCATTCAGATATTACATTGTGTACTGATTTCTCCCAAGAAATGTTGACACTATTTTTCAGAAGCTAATATGGCATTTGTTGACATATGACAAGATAGCTTTTGGATTTAAAATATATTTTTTTTCTAGGTTCTCCATTACTTCAGGATGCCTTGTCAGCAAGAAAAGATTCTTTAAATACATACACGCCTGCAAAAATTCAGCCAACACCAGTTGAAGACTTTTTGAGTCGGCGATCTGTGGAGAAGAGTTCTTGAAGTAAGCAGATGTCAGTATAGCTCTGGATAAGAAATGTGTCTTAATATTTTTTTTTCTAAGCTTAGAAATATTTGAGAGTATTTAGTGTAGCTTGACAGTTCACATCATTGATCTCTTTCCCAATTTTATATCTCTGAAGTTTTTTATTAATAGCTATTGAATTAGACAAGCTGGGGGAAAACTGCTTTCTTAACAATTCACCATTTCCAGTCATGTTAACGGACAGCTGATCACCAGCTCAGATTTTCATGGTCTCTTTTTCTGTGGCAGCACATGTGGGAAGAAAAGTAACTTAACATAGAAGAGTGAAATGTATTAAATGTTATTTGCCAGGAGAGATGACTTGAGTTATTAAACTACTTCACAGCAGTTGAAAAATGAAAGAAGAAGCAAGTAGCCCTGTAGCTTTCTGCTTAATATGATGTTACTGTTCAAAGCTGAAAGGATTTTGTGCATAACTAGAGGCTGCGTACCCGCTGTTGTACACAGACAGATGCCCATGGACATTCTTACTACATGACGGATGACCTGCACTGAATAGTCTGTTTTTAAAATCATTGTATGTTTATATTGTTTTAGAGGCAAATTTTCATGTGAAGTCCCCTGAGATAGCCTTTGACAAATAACACTGTCATTGCAAAGTTGAGAAGAAAAATAAATAAATATTCATGAATATGTTGCACACTCAAGTATATCAAGCACAAGTTCCTGATATACGTACCTCCTTTTACATTTGTTATATAGACCAATAATAGTGTGGCCTACATATTCCAAGCTATAGCATATGTCTATCTTCTCTCTGTGCATTATACACTCATCTTGACAATGATGGTGTTTGCAGATACCATGTCTTCTTGAAGTCCTCATTGAAGATGGACAGGATGTAGTTGAAGAAACAAGAGAGGCTGCACCCAGCCTCCTCATCCTTCAAAAGTATTCTGAATTGCAAATGGCTCTTTCATATGCAGGCATGCAGAGCAGTTCTGTTTCCTTTACACAGAAGTTCGTAATAGGTCCTAGATATCTTTGACTGCAACAGGGGATGAGATATGTGGATTTTCTGAAACAAAAGTACCATAGTTCTCCATCTTTGGAGTTACCTCGCAGCCACCTGACAACTATCTCAATGTGATCCACATGGGAGGAAAAGCCTAAATTACAAGGCTTTGAAGTTTAGTTTGGCCAAACTCTGCCCTAGTATCCTGTTCCTGCCACAGGGCTAGCTAGGAGCCTCTTCTTTTTTTAAATTAAATTAAGCACAAATTACAAACTAACCAAAACAAATAACATACACACAAACAAAAAAACTGATCTAAGACACTTAGTTATCACACATGGAACCCAATATACCTCCCCCGCCCTGCTGGGACCATTGAAGATACTCTGTTTTCCCTCCCTTTACGGAGCCCCATTCCCCTTCCAAAAATACATTGACTCTTGTGAAGGTATACAACCCTATCCCTTTGTTAAGACAAAATCAATAAATTCTCCCCATATATCTCTAAACATATTCTTATTTGCCATTCCTTTCCTTACTTCAATATTACACATTAAATTATCATTGATAGCTGTGTTCTTTGTCATTCAATTGGAGATCACACTTAACTTTCCAGTTCTTTGCTTTTATTAATTTAGCCACTATTACTAAATTTGGTATTATTTAGTTGTCCAATTCCATGGCTCACTCTCAAATATTGATCTAAAAAAACTATTTTAGGGCATATTTTTAAATTTAACTTTAATATTTCATTTATTTCTTGAAAAACCAACTTCCAAAATTTCAGTCTTCCTTCATTATGCATTATGGACTGGATTTTTTTGTCTCGGTAGAGGCATCTTTTGGGTGCGGAATCCTGCAACAGGTTCTTCCACAGTAGAATCTCATCCTTCTGTTTTTCTTTAGGGTCTTTGACCTGGCAGTGTCAGAAACCCACCTAGGACTTTGAGCTTGGTAAATTGCTTTTTAAGGGGATGTCCTTCTCCCCCTGTAGGAAGAAGCAACATTGGACACTTACTGTGACACATTACTTTAGTGCAGGGATAGAAATATGTCCTTCTTCTCCCAGGTGAAAAGGGTGCTGGACTCAGCTGTAATCAAACTGTGGCTTGGGTCTCAGGGAGCAATGAAGACAAGTGTCTTCTGGTCTCAACCTTTCTAGTTCCTCTGTTGTTTATTCTGTGTTTGTTCTCTCAGTTTGTTATTGAGAGCAGGCTTGAAGACAGGAGTAAAATGCTGAGTTGTCCTCTCCACTAGAGGGAAACAGTCACTCCAGAAAAAAGATTGGTCTTTAACTCCTGTCTATTAAGATGAATGAGAGGCACAATCCACTGGAAGGACCTCCTTCTATCCATGTACAAAAGGAATGCGCCACAGTAATCAATCAGCATTATTTTTGTTTTTCAGTTTATACCGGGAATTTATTTTCTTAACAACCAAAACAATTATTTTTATTTTGAAAAAAAAACCCTATATTTATGGAAAGTGGTAGGCATGCAGCTACAAGGAATGCAATTTATCTTCATTTTCAATAGCCATTAATTTCTTCATTTCCTTTATTTCCTTTTTCACCTTTCTGCTAAAATATAGTCCTCAAAGCAGTCAACAGGTTACAAGCAGGTCACAAACTAAGCTGCTCTTCATCTGTTCTAAACAATAAAACCATTAATATCAAAATAATCAAAGG